AGGGGAAAGAAGTGAAACTACTAATTTAGTTTCTTTAAAAGGCATGTATTTTCATGCACATTAAGTCCATCTGTTGGTGAAATGGAAGCCTTTGCACAGCGTATAATTTGATAAAACCCAAAAGAACTCAGAGCTCCCAGCTTGAAGCAGAAATAGAGAAAGTGGCTGGGAACCTGACTAAAGTGGAGAAATCCACCAAACACTATTTTTAGAACTAGAAACTGATTTTTTTTTTTTAAGTAGCCATTATGGAGAAAGATCCATGTCCCTAGTGTAAGAACCACTCAGCTCGTCTGAACGGCATCAGGACCAAGAGCAGAAGGCCTACTGTACCTGTGGCTTTTTCATTGGGGGCATCTTTTCCGCAGCCTGTGCTGTACCTGAGCCCCTCCCCCTGTCTTCACACCGTCCAGGGCTCCCCACCGTCCAGGGCAGAGAGCTCCCCAATTGCCCATCATGCTCTGTTGGTGCAAAGTGTTTAAAATTGAAATGTTGGCAATGCTGAAACTTTGGCAGTTCGCACTGAAAATCAGAAATTTCACAGAAAATTCATCGGACGTCAGTATTCTTTGTATCTCGAAAAATCAGAAGACCTAGTCATGTTGGGTCCAATTCCTACACGGTGTTACAGAGCCGTTGCTGAGTCATGATGGCTTTCACTTCTGGGTTTGCTACAGTCCCCCACCCCCTGTCCCTGCCCGGCCCCTGTACACACTGGAAGTTGCAACACCTGGTCTTGAGGATTAAAGTCTGAACTGTTCAGAAGGGCATTCAGGGTCCTTCATTATTGGCTTTCAGACAGCCTCTCTGTCTTCATCCTTCCCCAGTTCTTTATCCATTTAGTTAGTCAATAAACCTTCATTGACTGCTACTATGTACCAGGCTGTGTGTGAGGTGGGTATGAAGACAAATGCAATGCATGTATCAGTCAGGGTCCCAGCAGGTAACACACACGAACTTAGGACAATTCAAGCAGGATTGGTTGAATAGAGGGCAACCACAAGTATAGTACAGTACCCTGAGCCCAGAAACTTCTGGACTGCTGCTACCTGGAGGCCTGAGGGGAGAGGGTTCTGGAGAGAAGCTACGACCTTCTTCTGGGAATGCAGCCATCTGCAGAGCAAGAGCGAGGGGAAAGGTCCCCTGCTCTTACTATTCTTTCTACTCCAGTCTTGTGAGGGGACTCCCCCAGTGGCCAGAGCCAGAAGCAAAGGGCAAGGAGGCCTCCTGATGCAGTCCAGAGAGGTCTCCCTCCTGGCAGCGAACAGAGCAGAGAGAGGGCAGAGTGCATCTCAGCTGCCAACAGAAGACACCAAACCAACCCCACTCTGTCCTCCGAGGTATGCACCGAGGTACGCATGGGTCAGCGAGGAGAAAGGCAAGGTCCACAGACAATGCCAGTGCAGTGGGGACAGTGCTGTGTCAGTGAGAATCCCGGCAGGCAATCGACTCGGAGGAGACAACCACCCAGGCAGGCAGTTGGGAAGCCTCCCAGGAAACTCTGAGCTCAAAGTTGAATAGAAATAATTGTAGAACCAGGAGTTAGCCAGAGGGAGAGGCAGAATGTCCTAGGAAAGGGAGCATCCATCGCTCAGCTTCATGGACACCATATGCTCAACCCCTGGGTCACTCAAGTTCACAAATCACAAATCTCTCTTGTTCTTTTGCAACTGCGTGCATAGATGCTTCCTCTGCGGGAAAAGCCCTACCCACCACCCTTTGGGGGAAATTATCTCATCCCCATCTCCTCCAAGCCATTCCACTTCTGTATGGATCAACAGGAAGGTGAGCATGCAGTCATCAAAAGACGCCCCTCAGAATGCTCACAACAGGAACAATTGCCCACACAACATTACGCATAGTAACCAAATGTGTGCCAACAGAGAATGGGTCAGTGCATTACGATATGGCCACAGGATAGAATGCCGCACAGCCATGAGAATGAATGACCTACAAATATGTACAAAAGTATGAAAGAATATCACAAATAAAATATTGAGTGAAAGAAACCAGACACGAAAGAGTAGCTCTTGATATGAAGTTGAAGAACAGGCAAAATTAGTATGAAGTTGAAGAACAGGCAAAATTAATCGAGGGTGTTAGAATTCAAGGAAGTAGTTACCCCTTAGGGGAGCGGTAGTTACGGCAAGGCAGCGCAAGGCAGAGAGGTTCTGTGTTGCTAGCAATGCCTTGTTTCACGAGTTGAGTGCTGGTTGCAGGGTTCATGAAACTGGCTTGAGCTGTACCTTTATGATAAGTTTACTATTATTTATGTTATAAGTCCCCTTCTCTGGCCAGCCTCCTCAGCTCATTGATTAACAAGGGCCTCGTGTCCAAAGAGCTCAGAAAACCCTTCCGTACCACTCACCCGAGACATCTGAAAACCACTGAGAAAAGAGCAGTGACTTGGGAGCACCAGACATGCAGCGATTCCCCTGGCAATGCTGAAAAAGCCCTGTCCACTCTCTCAGCTCCATCTGCTGCTTTAACATGAAGCAGGCAAGCAGCTGTCTTCTAGTTCCTTCCAGCAACTGGATGTCTTACAGGCATCAGAGACCCATGAGTCTCCAGCATTCTCTGAACCTCCTTGCCAATCCTGGATAGCCTCTGCTCACAGAACAACTCTGAACTGCCTGCAAGACTCAGCTGAGCAGCTCCCAACTCTCTCGTCAAGGAGAAATCCTGTCACTAGCTTTTCCCCATGAAAGAGGATGAAATTTTTAAAAAGATATTTATTGTGCAATGGTCCATTTGTTTTAATCAAGATATTTACATGTAGCTGCCAATCTGACCTTGCAACTAGCATGAGATAACCAATATCTCTCCAATGGGTTATGTCATTTCTGCTCAAGACAGAGTGATATGATCACTTAGTTCTCCTGGGAAGATTCAGAGCAGGTACTCCATGTAGGATTTCCATTATTAATTTTATGAAATAGAAATTCACTCAGAAGCCCTTATTTCCTTTTTTCAAACTGCTCAGAATGGTACCCCTAGGCCCAGGCCAGTGTATTAGTATTAGTATTAGTATTAGTATTAGTATTAGTATTAGTATTAGTATATTAGTATTAGTTCCTCATCCACTGAAGAGACTTTGGGTTTTGTCCTCAGATATTTCTTGGTACTACTTTCTTGACCTCTTTTCAATAATGATCTCAGAATCATGTGGCCTTTTCAATGCTACACAAGCCAAGTGAAATGCAATGCACTACAGGCTGCCATTTATGCTTTACCTCTTGTATGTGCTGCCACCTTCCTAGGCACCTCCTATGGCAGGGGTAGGGAACCCTTTTTCTGCCAAGGGCATTTGGATATTTATAACATCATTCGAGGGCCAAACAGAATTATCAACTTAAAATTAGCCTGCTATATTTGGTCAAACATCTAATGAACTCACCCCTAATGCCTTGTCAGGGCCAGACCAAATGATTCTCGGGCCTCACATGGCCGGTGGACTGGACATTCCCCACCCCTGTCCTATGGGTTTGTGTGGGCTGTGGAGTCAGACAGCATGGGTTCAGGTCTCACCTCTGATCTTTATTGGTTCACTGACATTGGGTGATCAGGCACCTCACCTCTGAGTCCCCATTTCCTCATCTGTAGAATGGGACTCTGACACAGTTAGGTCACTGAGTTAAAGGGAGGACAAAATGCATTTATCCGTGCAAGCTCATGGCCCAGTGCTTGGCACAGAGGAATAGCTCAAAGCCATGAATAGTAATTCCACTGTCCTAAAAATTCCTTCAAAAAAGCACCATATCTCCATTTTGTAGAAAAATATGAGGCTCAGAGACTTCCCCACAGTCAAACACATGACTGAATGACAGACACAGAATTTTTAAACTGGTTGTTCTGGACACCAAATCTTGACCTCTTTTCCACAAGTGAGTCCTTCAGATATTATGGCAGAAAGCCTCACTAGTTGCTTCTATTTCCTTAGAACCATAGATTGCTTTGGAGAGAAAGGATATTTTAATTATTTAATGTAATCATTTAAAAGTAAGAAATAAAATTACTAGGTTAGATTTTTGTCCTTGTCCTAAAAACTCAATTTTTCTCAAAAGTTCATATTTTCATGGACCCATCCACTCAAGATTGTCAGCCTTGGTTTTGTGACTGCTGCCAATCTTGTTTCAGGCTTTAGCAGAAGGCTCAGAGAGCTCTGGCCAAAATGTGTGACCTTGGACACTCCGTTCCCTCTCAAGTGGGCCTCAGCTTCCCTTACATAGAACAGGGGCGTGGGTGGAGCTCCGCAGTCCCTGCAGCCTTGACTTGGAAGCCTCTCTCCTGACAACATCCCAGGGTTTGTCACACACGTGAGCAGCTGGGCTCCAAACATTTAGTTCCTGCCCTGTCTTCCTGAACTGTGTCAGAGAGGAATGGAAAAAAAAAAAAAGAACCCAACATCTGTTTTCACACCAGGGCTGGGAACTCATTCCTGAAACATTTTTCATTTCGTCACGAGTAACAGATCCACCCTTTGCTCCCTGGCCTCCTCGGCACCCCGTGATAAGACAGGAATGAATGTGCTGATGGGCATTTCCAGGAACAGGAGTCCTCCCTGGCAGTGCCCACGAAAACTTCCCAGGCAAGCCCGCCAAGCCACTGTCCTTGGGGCTCTCTCTTCCCATCAGCACCTCCCTCGGGCCCTTGCAGGCAGATTGGTCACTGGCATGGCCACCAATCAAACACCCTTTTCCCCAACTTCCAGGTTCCTGGGCCACTTGAGGGAGAAGAACCCCGCCCCCAGCTTCTGAATCTCCAGGCCTAGGAAGAGCTAAGCACACCCTCAGTCCCTCTGAGGGCTCCTAGAGGCTCTGCCACTCCCTCCCAGCATGACTTTGAGCCGATATTTAAAGAACCCTTACTCCGTGCTGGGCATGGTCCTAGTTACTTTTTATAGGAATCAACTCATATTTAAACCACTCTACAACCTTACATCTCGTGTGATTAGTTTCATTGTTACCCTATTTCACAGATGAGGAAACTAAGCCACCAAGAGGTTATATAGTTCACTAAAACCCAGACATATCCAGGATTCGAACCCCGACCCTCAGGCTCCTGGGGGGCTCACGGTTACCACGAGGCCAGCAGTCCTCAAACATTGTGGTCTCAGGACTCCTTCACAGTCTTCAAAATTACTGAGGATCCCCAACAGCTTTCTGTTTCTGTGGTTCCTGTCAATCCCCATAATTAGACATTAAAATGGAGAGATTTCTGAGCTCGAGAACACGGCACACATGTCCCACTAGTCACCAGAGCAATGGCATCATCACCCATCGAGCAGCCTCCAGAAGACACTCCCCATTGCCCATGAGACAAAAGCAAGTGACAAAAATGACAGCTTAGTGTCATTACAAAAATAGTTTGAACCGCATGGACCCCTGAGAGGCTGTCCAGGACTCTGAGTATGCCCAGACCACATTTTGAAAATTCAGGCACTACCCTACCGCCCTTACCTTGCAAGAACATGTACCACCTTCTCCCAGGTACTGATGCAGTGAGTAAATGCGTACTGAGCACCAATGCTGTAGGAGATACCATGCTAGGCACTGGGACACAGCAGGTTTGAACAAACACACTCTATCCTATGAAGCTTCCAGTCCATTCAGGGAAAAAAAAAATCCTTCCAGCTCTAGCCAAGTGGCTCAGTTGGTTGGAGCGCCGTCCCGTACACCAAAAGGTCGCAGGTTCAATTCCCAGTCAGGGCACATGCCTAGGTTGCAGTTCCATCCCCAGCAGGCAACAAACTGATGTTTCTTTCTCACATCAATGTTTCTCTCTTTCTCCCTTCCTCTCACTCTAAAATCAATAAGCATATCCTTGAGCGAGAATAAAAAAACAAATTCTTCCAATAAGTAATTTGAAATTATAAAAATCATTAGGAAAGAAAACGTGGGCCACAATGGGAGCTTAAATCAGAGGCACGATGTAGTTGGCAGGGCTGGGAAGGTTTCCTGAGGACTTTGAAAACTGTGACTCTGCTTTGCAAGAAGGAGCCGTTGGCAGTCGCCGGGTGAGGGTTTGGGCCCTGGCATAACCTCCACTCTTCCGGTTCCTTCTGTTCCCAAAAGCACCCAGTTAAACCTTTTCTGTCCAAAGACTTTCACTCCTGGGCTCCTAGCTCCTGAGCTCAGAAACCCTTCCCTCCCAGCGTTCGGTACCAACATAGCTGGCCCAAGGCCACGCGTAGCGGCAGATGCCGGTGGCCAGGAGAGAGGAGGCAGCTAGGGAGGAAAAAAGAACGTTGCATATTGGACTCCATACTTAAATACAGGCCATTTCAACGAGAGTCTATAATTCAAAATAGTCTTTGAAAGATGCATGGTGTTTTTGTTTTGGGTTTTGTTTTGTTTTTTCCTTTTTCTAAATGCAGAGCCACAAATGCCAAATAGCAGCTGTAATCTCTTCAGGACAAAAGTCTTAGTGATTCAGAACTTGTCTTTGCTTATCTCATTTCTCTTTTAAAACCAAACCTTCTTATGAGGTCCCTTGGGGTGTTTGATAGAAGGGACATCAGGTCTGGGGTCAGGCCCGGGTCTCCTCATAGGTAAATTCACTGCAGACTTTGGACAAATTTCTGCACTGGTTTGGGACAGTTTTTACATCTCTGGAATAGGTGGGAGGTGCAGAGAAACTGTGACCATATCGGTATTTCACAAACAGTACAGGGCACCTATGGAGGATGATTTCAGAAGTCATAAAGCCCAGGAGAAAATTACTTCTCCAAAAGGGCGATCACTTTTCAATTCTCCTTTTATCCTTGGGATTACATGTCAAAGAGAGACTCCCAGGCCAGTGCCTGCGTGTCCTCCCCAGCCCTCGAGGCTTGCTGCTCTCTCTGTCACTGAGAACTGGCCTTCTGCAAACAAGAGGAGCTAGAATTTCATTTCATTCTTTTGTTAGCACTGAGCATGTGCCTTGGTTAATGTCTACTTCAGTAATTCTATTTTTGTTTTCCTTTGTAATGATATAAAATTTGCTTTGTGCATAAATGCCTTTCAGTTTTTAAAAAGTGAGCTATTAAAAGACACACACACACACATACACAACATAGCAGATATTACAGGAAGCACAAAGCTATGGCAGCAATGATGGCCATGTCACCCAGGTTACAGAACTCTGAGGGCTTTCCTCCCTGGTCTAGACACAGTCCCCACTGGTGGTGTGTGGTCACGGGATGCTCTCACTGCCCTGCATCCCCCTATTGCCCGCGCTCCCTGGGTGCTGAGGTTGTGCTCAGCAGACTCTGGACCAGGGATAGAGAGGTCCAGCTTGCTTGGGAATGTTGTCCTGCCACAGAGAGAACAGGTTCCCCTCCAGGAATAACCCTCTGTCTTGCAAAAGGAGGGCCCTGGCGGAGGTTTAAGCTGTGTTAAGAAGAAATCACCGTAACCATGAGTCTGGGTGGTGTAGGACTTGACAAGGTGCTTTCTTGCAGCTGAGCCCAAGAATCCTCCCCATACACCTCCAGGGTAGGTGTTATTTCTGACTTCATTTTACAAGTAAGAAAACGGAAACGAGGAAATGATGTAAGAAGTCACACACCTGGAAAGAGATGGAATGAAGGTTTTAAATCTGCATCTTTTGTCACCAAAGTTCATGCTCATTCAACGACAAATGACACAGAAGAAGGTTTGGGAAGAAATCAGGAAGATGAATCCGGGTGTTTTTATGGTGATAACTATCTTGTTCTGTGAATATACTATCTAAATAGTCCCACAATTTGGAACACCTATCTTGTATCCAGTAAAGGAATAATAAAAAATAAAAAATAAACCTTGATGTTAAATTTCTGTATACATCTATAATATGTGCATAAGTAACTTTCTGAAAGTTTAACTGTGGCATCAAAACTCTAAGCACATCTTTGAGGTTCTTTAAACATACCGACCCGTGTTGCCAAAATGCCCTTCAGAGAGGTTGCGCCAGCCAACCCACGTGACCCGGCATGAAGGAGGGTGCCCATTCTCTCACATGTACCCTGATCCTGAGTATTTTCATTAAATCTCTTACAATAAGAGAGAAATGACACTCCGGCGCTTGGATTAGCATGTCTTTGATTATTAGTGAAGTTAAGCACCTTCCCATCTGCTCCGTGACCATTCAGATGTATATCTGGAAATTTAAGCTCAAGTTCACTGTTGAATTTTTCAATATTGTATACATTCACGACTCAGGATAAGGGGAAGGGTCCCAGAAGCTTGCCGGGCCCCAGTTTTCCTAATTGTGCAACAGGTTTGGGAGAAAATGCTCTCAAGATCCCCTCAACTCTAATCTGAACTGGGACAGAGGCAGCACCGATGCTGCTGAGGGCCTGGGGACACTTCCCACTTATCTCAGTACAGGTGGTCCCAGCTGCCAAGAGGGGCCACCTCTGCCCGATCAGCACTGAGCTCTGCTTCCCCAGAGGGACAGCCCACCCAGGATCATTCACTGTCAGTGACTGCCTTTTACATCCAAGTTAAACAAAATTAGTTATAATGTAAGAAGCGATTTTTGTTCCTGTTGCCTTCCTGTTTAATTACTCCTCCCTCTCCTTGCATCCCTGCCAATGCCATCAGCACCCCTATCCTTGGACAGACGTGCAGAACGTGGACTGCCATGGTACCTTCACCATCTCCATGACCAGAGGTGATGCTCCTGACATGTTTACAAAGAAACATATTATCCCTAGCTTAGAAGAGAATCACAAACCTATAACAGAAACATTATATCTGGAAAGTAACAGGAAAGATTAACTTCTGACTCTACGCTTCCTTTAAGGATGATTATTAAGCTAGGACGAATGCATATTTTTATCTTGGGTGGGTGTCCAGTTAAGATGAATTTTGTTTAGTTGAAAATGCAGGAAGTTTAAATTCCTCCAAACTGATCATTGCTTGCAAAATGATCATGTGAGCCCGGATAATGAGGAGAGGAGTGGACGTGCATATCTTAACGCCCTGGGGAGGCTCAGATAACGTGTTTTATTTCACATCTTTCGGAAAAAAAGAAAGAAAAGAAAAAAAAAAAAAGAGGAGCTGTACATTTTAGCTTTGGCCTCCTTCTATGGCCCTGTCCCATCCTTTCAGCCCATGCTTTACCCTCGCGATGGACAAAGAATGTGAACTACACCCTAATTGTGCAACAGGTTTGGGAGAAAATGCTCTCAAGATCCCCTCTCAAAATCAACCCGGGGCTGATTTTGCAGTCATGGAGAAAGCCGTCTTCCAGGTGCTCCCCACCTGCTCCCTCTCTTTCCGCCCCTTCACTGCTCTCCTCCGCTGGTCCTCACTGGGCCACACCTTCCTGATCACCTATGGAGAGATTTTTAGCTTTGCCACACCTTGGTTTCTAATAGCTCTTGATGTCCAGTCCTCCTGGTCCCCATACCACCTCCCCCCTGCCCACCCGAACTCTGAATGAAGAAGGATAGATGCCAACCCATCCCTCGGTTCATCTCAGAGTTGAGTGGGGGCACTTTGCTAAATCGTCGCATGTATGCATTTGGCTCTCATCCCTAACCTTGCTTGAGGGGGCAGAGAAGGAGGGAGAGTAACATCTATTGAGCGCCTACTTTATTATAATACTAGAGGCCTAGTGCACAAAATTCATGCATGGGGGTCTCCCTCAGCTCAGGCTGCTTGTCTCCAATTCCATTTCCAAGGGAGTCACCCACTGTTACCTTGGGGAAGGGACTTAGCCTTTCTCGGGTGACCTCTGCTGTAAAGGGTGTTGATAATACTCATCATGGGGCGGGTAGACTTAACAGAGCACCCGCATACAGTAGGAGCTCAATAAATAGTGGCTCAGTTGGTTAGGCAGTGTGCCCATGCACAGTTGCCGGTTTGATTCATGGTCAGGGCATGTGCCCGGGTTTCAGGCTCAATCTCTGGTAGGGGGTATACAGAAGGCAGCTGATCCATGTTTCCCCTCTCACTTCTCTCTCCTTCTCTCTCTTTTTCTCTAAATCAATAAAAAATTTAAAACATTTTAAAATAAAAATTCATAGTAGCTCCCTTCTCTGTGGAAAAAGGCCTCAGAGGAGAGAAGTTGTAAGCCGAAAGGAAGCACGAGGATGGAAAAGGTAGACCAGAAGGTCAAGGTGGGCAGGAGTCCCCTAAGCCCTGTAGCCACAGCAACAATAGGAATGGGGAAGATGGAGAGGCAATGAGGATGACAAGGAGGCAGCGACAGGGAGCACAGCGTCTCTCACTCCCACCATCCAAGCTTGGAAAGCTTTGTACTCTTCCTCCAGAAGTGCCCTGGCTCCAGGTGACCTTGGCTGCTTGTGGCACTCAGGGAGATGGAGGAGTGTCACAGTTGGCAGGAGAGGAGTAGAGAATGAGAAAGCAGCAGGTGGCACATTAGCCCCGGGGCCACAGCAGGTAAGAGCGAGGGCTCTGGAGTCAGAAAGCCTGGATTCCAGTCTCTGCTCCCTGTTTTCTAAGTTCTGACCTCTGCAACCTCAGGCAAGTCAGTGCACATCTCTGAACCTCAGTTGCCGCACCTTTAAAATGGGTATGATGATAATCCACATCTCAAAATATCATTGAGATAATAAAGTGGAATGAGATTATGTAAAGCACTGAGGAGTGTGCCCTTTACTTAGCATGCATTTAGAGGTTGCAACACCATTATCGCTGCTGTTATTTGTTATTATTTTATCTTAAGGATTGTTAGAGAGTCCCTATAGGCAACTCTCTTCGTGACATTTGAAAAGTCTCTGACAGAGTCCTGCGTTGTGGCCAAGGTAATGCTGCCAAACATCCAGGTTGGGCCACTCAGGGGACCACTCTGAGCCTCAGTTTCCTCATCTATAACCGGCGTCATTGGACACGGCAGTGGGTGGATTCCATGAGGCAGGGTGGAAAATGGCCAGCACTGGGCTCGGCGGAGAGGAAGGCTGGAGAAATGGGAGTCCCCTTCCTTTCCCTGCTCCCCCTGGGAAAGAGCAGAAACCACGGTGAAGGACCTGCTGGGCTTCTCTGGCCGCCTGGTGGAGGGAGATCAGGTGGAAAGCAGAAGGGGGTGGTCAGCAGGTCAGCTTAGTCCCCTCTGGGATCCAGCAATTTGGAAGAAGACTCCCTGTCTGCCACTCACCCAGCCCACCGCAGCCCTTCCCAGGACAATGGCAGGACACAGGTCTGCGCTCACCAGCAATAGCGTACAAGTCTCCGGGCCAGGCTGGGGTGGCCTGGGCAAGCAGGGTTTGTCTCTGGCACACAGAGGGCCAGCAGCCTCCACATCAAATGAGGGACCCAGGTACAGCCTGGTAATGTTCATCTCCTGACTCCCAAGGAGGCCCCAGTGTAAGTGTGAGGACTCTGAAAGACCTGGCAGAGAGACAGGAAAGGCGGCGCAGGGGACCCTGGAACATTGGCCTGAGGGGCTTCACTCACAGATCTCCCTCTCTCGCACTCTGGGCTGGTTTTGACGCCATTCCTGATGACACTATAATAAGCTGCCATTTTTTACTGGGCACCTACTGTGTGCCAGGTCTAATGTGAAGTACATTCAATCCTCATTATCCCTGGATTCTGTATCTGCAAATTCACCCACTCGCTAAAATGTAACCACAAAATCAACACTGCAGCTTTCTCTCTCTCTCTCTCTCTCTCTCTCTCTCTCTCTCTCTCTCTCTCTCTCTGTCACAAACATGCACAGAGAAGCAATGAAATGTCAGTCCCTAGACACAAACGTTCTCCACTGAGGTGGGACAAGGCCCCACTATGCCTCCTGGTTCCAGCTCTCATACTATAAATAGGGGTCTGTCTTACAGCCTGTCTAGGCCATGTTTTTCACAGTTGGGGGCTTTCTGTTGATAATATTACTGTTTAGAAGGGGCCCCAGATTGGAGAGGGTGCAGGAGGCTGGGCTGGGGGACACCCCCTCCCCAGTACATTAGTTTTGTGCACCGGGCCTCTAGTTTGTAATAGAATTAGTTATTATGGTCATTATAAATTCAGTATTCTGAAATGCCATACATACTAAGACCCTATTTACTTTCAGCATAAAAGTTGTCCATAGTTCCCAATGCCTATGGAATAAAATCCAGTTCCCAAGCCTGGCTCCCATGCCTCTGGGTTACTTTCCTGGTTTCTCCTTTGCCAGTTCCCTGCTGTTTCCTGATCAGGCCCATTTCTCCATCTCCTTTCACAGCCCTTTTGTCCAGCCTGACCCCTGCTTTCCTCTCAGTCAAGTTCACATGCCCATCTTTGCAAGATGGCCTTGACTTTCCCAGGCCCGCTCAGCCTTTTCCTTCTCTGGGCTCTGAAGTGCTGTGCATGTGCCTCTGTATACTGCCGGTCACACTACATCATGTGATTTCATCAGACAGTGAGTTTTAGTTCATTTCTGAGTTCCAGGACTTGGTGCAGGTGGGATCTCGGTAAGTCATGCTGAATGAATCCATAACCACTATGCTTACCAGCAACTTTCCCTACAGGGCCCCTTAACATTTGCAAAGTATAGTCAGCCGATGCAGGTGAGTCTGGAGTGAAGACATTGGGCCAGCGGGTGACCCTACAGGCCGGGGGCAGTGCAGTCCTGGCTATCCTCTTCCCATAAACCAAACTGCAGCTCACCAGCCACATGAGGCTCTTTGAGTGTGGTGGCTCTTCCACAAAATATCACAGCGTGTGCGAGTCTATTTTGAAGAAGTGGTGTTAGAAGAAATTTAAGTTTAAATATTGTCGGTTCTCAAAAGAAATTTCAATCTTTGTACTGTTGATATTTGGTTCTGTTGACTAATGAGTTTGCCGACAATTGCCATAGACTGTCAGGCTCCAGAGAGCCATAGACTGTCAGGCTCCAGAGAGTGGCTGTGGCTCCGCTGGAGCCCTCGGATCAGCACTTCCCCATTCGCTACTGCCTCTCTCACTGCTCCTCTTCCCCGAACCCTGCTTCCATATTGTCAGGTCTTTGAATGTTGCAGCCAAACCACTGCTGTACTTCTGAAAGCAGAACCACACACCACCGGCCACCGCTCCTCACTGACTTCCTGCTCCCCGGGCTCCCATCCCGGCCTCCTGCCCTTCCTCCACCGTGCACACCCCTGTCGGGGCAGCCACATCCACGCCATGTGCCCTGGCCCTGCATGCTGCCCCGGCGCCTCCTGCTCCTGCACCATCCATCCTCCTTCAGCCTCCTTCATCTCCCTCCATCTCCTTCAGCCAGGCGCCCTGGGACCTCTGCCCTGTTCCTCACCACTCTCATTCTTGAACCACTTCCCCATTTGAATTCTTTATGTCCCTCCTCCCTTTATTCCGGGGAAGCCTGGTCCACAGTGTGACTTTTGTGGGTCAAAGGCCGGGATTAAAAATAGGAAGGAGTTGCCATTTCTGTCACCCCACTTCCTTAGCCAGGAAGAGGCCACAAAGGTAGTGTGTGCTCTGGCCAAGCAAAGAGACTGCTAGAATTGCTGCACCAGCCAGGCCCCCAGGAGGGGTGGTCAGGAAAAACAGGCCCACCCATGGGATAGTTTCCAGTTTCTCATGAAATGGAAGGGGTAGTAAGCATACCCATTTTATAGATGATTGCTCTCAGTTTTGAATCTAATTGAAACTGAAAGATGCAAGACTGCATGAGAAATGAGCCACCTAAACCCTGTGAGGCCAAGTTTCTCCTAAAACTGAGAAAGACCAGATCCTCCACTTGGGATGACCAAGAGAATAAAGTGAGATGATATTTAAAGCGACGTGCGCAGCATATAACACATAGACATCTGGCCAAAGAAAGCTAATTATCTTCCCCTTTAAAACTGCTGTTGCTTCCTTCAGTGGAGGGTACATGGGAGGCTTTCGGGCTCCTTCAAGCTGCCCTCGCTGGAATGCACTTAGTACCTCGGGGCACTGCCATCAGAGGCCGCACACAGCCTGCCGCCCGGCCAGCTGGGTGGTGGTGGGTGGCACTGAGCCAGCGTCCTCAGCAACCTCGGGAGCTGCTGAGACAGGGTGACTTTGATGTGGAGCCAAAGGGAGACGTGTTGTAATTATCTAAATTATCTGAGGCCCCCACAAAACTCAAAGAACTACAGGTTGCTTGCAAATTTCGAATTCCCTACTGCTGGCCATCACACCAGCGGAGTTCTTGATTCCTCATCCAGCCCCAGTCCTGCAGTCTCACAGCCTGGGGCCTTTGCACACGCTGCAGTCCCTGCCTGGCATGGCGTCCCTCTCCTTCCCCTCCCTTCTGTAGCTGTCGGAAAATTTCCCCTCAGCCCCACAGGTCCTCTGCCAGGAAGCCACCTCTGCCCAGCCCTCTGCACAGCTCTGTGCATGTGGCATGTATCCCTCTCTGCTGTCACCCCCCACTTGAGTGCCTTGGTCCCCATCAGCTATGTGGGCTCATCGAAGGCAGTGAGTAAGCCTGGGGCTCCCTCGATGCCTGACACAGAGAGGACCTCAAGACGTGGTTGTTGTAATGCACTCCTACAACCATGTGGTAGAGGCGGAAACCAACATTTTAAAATCTAAAAGAGCTCTTTGTGAATTCTAGCTGTTCAATGAAATAACCCGTGCCATGGGTTTGAGTTGGTTAGCCTCTCTTGCAACCCAGTTTCCATTTTATGAAATAGAACGATGAGTCTCAGAATATTGTTTAAAGGAAACACACACACACACACACACACACACACACACACACACACACACACCACACTCCAGTGGGACGTTTCCACAGTTGGAAAGAAATGGAGAGTGAGCCATTTACATAGACATGCCAGGTCAAAGCAAGATGGCCTGTCGCCACCACTCAGGGGTATTGATTGACCTTGATGTCTTGATCTCAGCCTCTTCTATACATAGTCTTAAGTCCTGGGAATAGCCAGCTCAGCAGGGAGACCAGACTACACGAGGCTCCTGAGGCCTCCTGAGCATCCCTCCCAAGGACAGAGCATACCTTGACTCCAGGAGAGGAGAGTGAGATAGAAACATCAATGATAAGAGAGACTCATTGATCGGCTGCCTCCTGCACGCCCCACACTGGGGATTGAGCCCACAATCAGGGCATGTGCCCTGGCCGGAAATCAAACCGGGACCTCCTGGTTCATAGGTTGATGCTCAATTACTGAGCCATGCTGGCTGGCCTCAACCGAGTTTCTAGGCTGCCCTGTCCTGTAAATGCCAGGCCTATTAGCCAACACACACACACACACACACACATACCTATATATATTGATACACTGGTATCAATAGATACTAGGTGGAGAGATAGATACTACTGGTTTTGTTTTTCTGGAGACCCCTGACTGACACATGGCAGAAATGAAATTTAAAAATCCAGAAGTAGTATACAGATTGGGACCAGAAGCCAGCCTATCTCCAAGTCCATACAATGCACTTGGAGCAGACTCCTGAGGGTGGGTCTGATTATCAAGCACTTGCCCTGCTCAGCATGATTCAATTATAAGAAGAATAAAGCTTAAAACCTCACTCGGGCGCCTCAGAAAAGGTCCTCTGATAACTTGAGATGTCTACTGAATCCGGTAGCCCGACTCTGGACAGTGGTTAGCCCACCTGCTTCTGTGAAAATCCATCATCCTTTGTGATTAGGACTACAACTATAGCTAAAAGACACTCTTTAAGATGTCATTTGGAGTCAGAATCAAGCAGTCCCTCACGGTCACCTGCCCCCTCCTAACCCATTCAGTCTGGAGACACTTCCATTCTTATCAACCTCAACTGAGCAGTGACCAGCAGTGGACTTATGATGATGCTCTTATGTTTGCTTTTTTATAAAGTCAATAAAATAATTCTTAAATGCAATTTTTATATTAATTATTTTAAAATACTACTACTTCTGTATAACTCACTGCTTCTTTTTGCTACACAGTCGTCCATGTGGCCTCACACAGATTTCTGTGAGGTCACTCATGATGGCAAAACAAATAGAACACGGACCCACCAACCTCGGATGCTTCTGTATCAGATTTCAGTGTCAGGTTCCCGATAACCCTGCAGGGCATGCAGCTGTGGAGGGTCACTTGGTCCCTCTATCCCTGAGCTTTAGAAATGCCAGGGCAGGGCGGAAGTTATGAGGTCATCTCATTTTGACATTGAAAAATCCAGGTGAATCTCTCATGGCATATTTTCTCCCAGAAGTAGGAAGCATTAAATACTGTCTATATACCAGACCCCATGCACATGGGCGTTGGGTCAGGGACTCCAATGCCTCTCGCTCTCATAGAAAAGTGACAACTTGTCATCTGTAACTTTAATACTAAACTCTGAGTGAGCTCGGTTTTACCTGTGGTCTGCCTCCCTTGGAGAGATTTCATGCCCATGAACACACTGAAAGAAGATATACTCTTTTCATTTGCCAGAAGCTCAGCCTGCTAGTGTCTGTGCAAATTAAATACACTCTTGATTTTTCTTTTTTTTTTTTCTTTTTTCTTTTTTTGTAATTTTAAGTTCCCTGTGCCCAGATGTCTTGTCACGTCATTACAGAAGCACAAGCTTGTGAGTCCTGGAGGGTCTGCAGGAGGAGTTTTTCAAATCTCCTGAACAGGTTTCCACAGCCCAGCCATCTGGACGCCCTCACGTACAGCCAATGGCTATGCTCTGCTTCACCTTCTCCCAAATACCCCATGACCTGGAGATGACTCAGAGCCCCAGAATGAAGAAAATCCTCCGAATCCCAATCACTTCCTCCATCACATCCTCCAGCCCCACTTACAAAGCAGAAAGGCTCCGGATGAATGAGGAAAGTGGAAGCTGAGCCCAGCAAACTTCTCTCCGAATGTGAATGAATGGTTGCAACATTCTTTCCAATCTGGGTCAAGGGAGTTCAGTTTTTCTGCCTTTAGCCTGCGGGTCTCAGATGACACTTGGCAGGTGGACAGCCCTGCTGGTTCTTGCAGGCCAGCAGATTGTTGATAACCCTCAAGCAAAAAAAAAAAAAAAAAAAAAAAAAAAAAGAAAGACAGTCAATAACAAGTTCGGAGGAGAGTGTGAGGCAGCCATCAAACACTGCTGATAAGAATGTAAGTTGGTACAACCACTTTGAAAACCTACGTGGCAATAGCTCCAAAAGCTGAAAACACCTTAGTCCCAGCAGCCCCTCACCAGGTTATGGATCTGACTGACAGTCATGAGTGCACACACTGGAATGTCTCTAGCAATGCTATTCATAACCGCCCAAGGCTGGAGACAACAGAATGTCTACGAGCAGTAGAATGGATACAGCAGTAAATTCACACAATGGAATGCAGCAAGGAGAATGAGAATCTGTGGCTATGAGCAACATCAGGGAGGAATGTCATAGTGTGATATTGAGCCAGAGACCTGACACCAAAAAAGGACATACCGTGTGATTCCACTGACAGAAACTATAAAAACACAACTAACCTATAAGAATAGTAATCAGGAGAATGGTTACCATTAGAGGAAACATTGTGACAAGGGTAATGGGTAATATTTGACTATCTATTGCCACCTAATAAATTACCCCCAAAATTAGGGACTTCAGACAACTATTGCCCAGCCAGCATGGCTCAGTGGTTGAGCATTCACCTATGAACCTGGAGGTCATGGTTCCATTCCTGGTCAGGGCACATGCCTGAGTTGCAGGCTTGATCCCCAGTGTGGGGCATGCAGGAGGCAGCTGATCAATGATTTGCTCTCATCATTGATATTTCTATCTCTATATACCTTTCTCTTCCTCTCATAAAGCAATAAAATCTATTTTTAAAAAATAGGACCACATCATTAATGGATGAATGGATAAAGAAAATGTGATATAGCCGAAACTGGCTTGGCTCAATGGATAGAGCGTCGGCTTGGGGACTGAAGGGTCCCGGGTTCGATTCAGGTCAAGGGCATGTACCTTGGTTGCGGGCATATCCCCAGTAGGGGGTGTGCAAGAGGCAGCTGATCGATGACTCTCTCTCATCGATGTTTCTAACTCTCTATCTCTCTCCCTTCCTCTCTGTACAAAATCAATAAAATATATTAAAAAAAAAGAAAATGTGATATAGATATGAAAAAATATATGTGTGTGTGTGTGTGTGTATATATATATATATATATATATATATATATATATATATATATATATGAAGGGGTTGGGGAGAGCCTGGGTTTGAAGCCCACAAGAGTACTCTGTGGCTGCCAGAACAAGACCCAAGTCGCCAAGGAGAGCGACAAGTGAATCACCCAATTCCTGCTTAGTCACTGCAAGGTACTTTCCACACCGACACATGGAGATGGTTACCAGAGAACTGTCTGCTGGCTGCTCTCGCATCAGCTCAAAGAAAATGTTGTTGTAACCTTTACTTGGGAGGGGGAAAAATAGCATCACTTTCCCTTTCCCTTTCTTGTTGGAGAGAGATTTCTTGGCAATACAGTTGAAGTGGTTGTTTTTGTTTACCCTGGAGAAAGTTTCCAGATAGCTCTGAATCCTGCGCTTTGTGCCTGTGGTGGGCCCTTCGAGTCTTAAGCACTTAATGTCTAAGTGTGTAAACAGCCCCCTTCGAGATGACGGTCCCAGGCTGCCCAGATCCCAGGGCCTCCCGTCGAGCTTTCGGATCGCCAGCAGAGTCCTGCCGGCCTGGAGGAGTTAGAGAGCCATCGGTCCAAGCCCTCATTCTGACCTACTATCAGCATTAACTAGGGCACTTCCAACTTCCTGACCCCCCCCCCCCCACTTCCTAATTAATAATCATGAGGATTAGTAATGCTTACCCACAGAGTGGTGGTGAGAATAAAATGAGGTGATGTGTATGTAGAAGCACCAAACATGGCTTGGCACTAACATAGTAGTTGATTAGTTAAAATGAGTTTGCCCCTCCCTTCTCTCTCCTGATCCTTCATTCATTATTTCCCTGTCATTTTCTCCTTTTAAATGCCGTCTCTTCCTCTTCCTTCCTTCCTTCCACCCCCAAACTTAATCAGTGGCAACACTCTCCTCTCCTCTCTGCTCTGCTCATTCTATATATGTGAACTGCCTTGCTTCAAGTCTCAAAGGCCCTCTGCATTCACAGCCATCCCTCTAGCTGGCAAGGCCTTGGCATGGTGGCTATTGAAAGCCAGCCAAATTCTGGTTAAAAACACTGCGATTCTTGGCCAGACTTTCTCTCCTTACAAACAAGGGTGATGTTTCAGGCATGGGAAGTCTTCCCATCCATTTAAACCCCAGGAGGAAAAAATAGCAACACCTCAGTGTGTGGCCTTAGGTGGACAGCCATGCGAGGCTCCGGTATTGACAGAAATAAATCTGGTGTTTCTGAAAATTGTGAAACATGTGCAGTGAATGTGTCATCCCAACAAAAGTTGAGTCAGTCCCCAGGCCTGGCCCCAAATCTGGCTGTGTTTTCTTTCTAAATAGAAAGTATATTCCTGGCCAGCCTAACATTAGCAAATCGGTGGTCAATGAGAGCGGAGAGAGGCAGAAGAGGAGACATGCAAATCTATACTTTGCAAGAACTGTTACTGGAAAAAATGAAGTTCTCCCTCTTTGATTTAAAACATATTTCTTCCCTTTTTCTTCTTTCCTTTTCTCTCTATCCTCTGTTTGCACTAAGTTTTTCCTTCCAGCATTATCTTAACACAGACTTTTAAGGTGGTCTTTGAAAATAGGATCACATCAAAACAAAAACTAAAACAAAAAAGAAAAGAATAACACAAAAGATCAATGAGCTGGTCTTTTGAAAAAATAAACAAGATTGACAATAAACAGACTCACAAAGAAAAGAGAGAAAGAGAGAGAGAGAAAGAGAGAGAGAAAGAGAGAGGGGGGGCAAATAAATAAAATAAGAAATGAAAGTGAAGAACAACTATATATCAACAAATTGGACAACCTAGATGAAATGGATAAATTTCTACAAACATACAGTGTTCCAAGACTGAATCCGGAAGAATCAGAAAATCTGAGCAGACTGATTACAATTAATGAAATTGAAGTGATAGTCAAAAAACTCACAGCAAACAAAAGCCCTGGATCGAATGGCTTCACAGGTAAATTTTACCAAACATTCAAAGAGGAACTAACACCCAGCCTCTTCAACCTATTCCAAAAATTCAATAGGAGGGGAAACTCCCAGGCTAGCATTATCTAATTCCAAAATCAGATATAAAGATACTACAAAGAAAGAAAATTATAGGCCAGTATCCCTGATGGATATAGATGCAAAAATACTCAACAAAATAATAGCAAACCTGATTCAACAATATATTAAGATCATATACCACGATCAAGCAGGATTTATTCCTGAGATGCAAGCTTGGTACAATGTTCACAAATCAATGTGATACACTATATAAACAAAATAAAGGATTAAAAACTACATGATCATATCAATAGATGCAGAAAAAGAATTTGATAAAATCCAGCACCCATTTATGATTAAAAAAAAAAACTTCCAATAAAATGGGAATAGAGGGAATATACCTCAATGTAATAAAGACTGCATATGACAAATCCACAGCCAATAACATACTCAATGGGCAAAAACTACATGTGCTTCCCTGAAGATAAGGAACAAGACTGAGATATCTCTTTCACTACTCTTCTTCAATATAGCACTGGAAGTCCTAGCCAAAGCAATCAGACAAGAAAAAAAATAAAAGGTACCCCGATTGGAAAGGAAGAAGTAGAAGTGTCATTACTTGCAGATGACATGATACTGTATATAGAGAACCCTAAAGATCCCTCCAAAAAATGACTGGACCTGATCCATGAATTTAGTAAAGTAGCAAGGTAAAAAATAAATATCCAGGTATCAGTTGCATTTTTATATCAGAAAGGGAACCTAAGAAAACAATCCCATTTACAATTGCACCAAAAAGATAAAAATAAAAATACCCAGCAATAAATTTAAATAAGAAAATAAAAGACCTGTACTTGGAAAACTGTAATGCACTAAAGAAAGAAATAAAAGAAAATACAAATAAATGGAAGCATATACCATGTTCATGGAGAGGAAGAATTACCATCATTAAAATGTCCATACTATCCAAAGCGATCTATAGGTTCAATGCAACCCCTGTCAAAATACCAATGGCATATATCACAGAACTAGAACAAATATTCCAAAAACTTATATGGAACTACAAACAAACAAAATGGCCTTAGTAATATTGAGAAAGACGAACAAAGTTGGGGATATCATGCTATCCAATATAAAACTATATCAGAAGGCCATAGTAATCAAAATGGCATGGTATTGTCATAAAAACAGATATTCAGATTAATGGAACAGAATATAGACCCAGAAATAAATCCACATTCATATGGTCAATTAATATTTAACAAAGAACATACAATGTGGTAAAAACAGCTTATCCAATAAACAGAGCTGGGAAAATTAAGTAGCTATGTGCAAAAAAACTGAAACTAGATCACTTCCTTTCACCTTTTAAAGGAATAAACTCAAAAAGAATTAAAGACTTAAATGTAAGATTCGAAATCATAAAACTCTTAGAAGAATATCCAATACATACTTTGTTATCACTCTTAGTAACAATTTTTGGATATATCTGCTTGGGTAAGAGAAACAAAAAATAAATAAATAAACAAATGGAAGTACATCTAACTAAAAGGTTTTGCACAGCAAAAAAACAAACAAACAAACAAAAACAAAACAAAAACTCCAACCTAACCATCAAAAAAACGAAGAGATGCCCTGTTTGCTCACTGGTTAGAGCGTCAGCCTGTGGACTGAAGGGCTCTGGGTTCAATTCAGTTGAGGGCATGTACGTAGGCTGCAGGCTCGATCCCCAGCTCTGGTTGGGGTGGATGCAGGAATCAACATCCCCAAGTAGAATCAATGTGTCTTTCACATCCAGTCTCTTTTTGTCTCTCCCTCTCCCTTCTACTCTCTCTAAAAATTAATGGAAAAAAAATACGCTCAGGGGAGAATTAACATCAACAAAAAATCCCACAAAAACAAATAGACAATCTACTAAATGGGAGAAAATATTTGCAAATAAAGGGTTTAAATGTATAAAGGGCTCTGATAAAGGGTTTAAGTTTATAAAGAGCTCATACTACTCAACACCAAAACCCCAAACAATTCAATTAAAAAGTAGGCAAAGAATCTGAATAAACACTTCTCCAAAGAGGATATACAGACAGCGAACATACATATGGAAAGATGTGCAGTGTCACTAATTGTCAGAGAAAAGCAAATTAAAACCACAATGAGATATCATCTCACACCATAATGACTAACATCAATAATGTCAAGTATTGATGAGGATGTGGAGAAAAGGGAACCCTCATGCACTGTTGGTGGGAATGCAGACTGGTGCAGCCAGTGTGGAAAACAGTATGCAGTTTCCTCAAAAGATTAAAAATGGACCTGCCTTACAACCCGGTGATTCCACTTGGGGATATACAGCATGGTGATTATAGTCAATTATACGGTACTGCATATTTGAAAGTTGCTAAGAGAGTAAACCATAAAAGTTATCCTCAAAAGAAAAATAAATGTTATAACTAGGTATGGTAGTGGATGTTAACTACACTTATTGTGGTGATCATTTTGCAATATATACAAATACTAAACCGTTAACATCTGAAACTAATATAATGTTAAGTCCATTATACCAATTAAAGTATTTTAATTATTAAATATTAAGGATTTTTCAAAGTGGAGGAAGGAAAAAAGGAAGGAAGGAAGGAAGGAAGGAAGGAAGGAAGGAAGGAAGGAAGGAAGGAAGGAAGGAAGGAAGGAAGGAAGGAAACAGAACCATAAAGCTGCATCGAGACAGCCTAGGGTAACTGGATGCTGTAACCTTCAGAATAAGATAGGCCTGGGTTCAAACCCTGGTCCTTCCTTCCACTATCTGGGTGTGTGAGACAGAGAGAGAAAGAGGGAAAAAAAAAAGCCGAAACCGGTTTGGCTCAGTGGATAGAGCGTCGGCCTGCGGACTAAACGGTCCCAGGTTCGATTCCGGTCAAGGGCATGTACCTTGGTTGCGGGCACATCCCCAGTAGGGGGTGTGCAAGAGGCAGCTGATCAATGATTCTCTCTCATCGATGTTTCTAACTCTCTATCCCTCTCTCTTCCTCTCTGTAAAAAAATCAATAAAATATATTTTTAAAAAAGAAAGAAAGAAAAAAAGAAAGGAAGGAAGGAAGGAAGGAAGGAAGGAAGGAAGGAAGGAAGGAAGGAAGGAAGGAAGGAAGGAAGGAAGAAAGAAAAGAAAGGAAGAAAGAAAAGAAAGAAAAAGAAAGAGGAAAAAAAATCCATTCTCAGGTTTAGTATCACTTTCACCAATAGGAACATCCTGCCTCTTGCCTGTGAAGATTAAAGACTGGCATCAGCAGAGCCTGGGCCAAGGCAGGTGCCCAGCGCCTCTGAGTCACCTTTCTCTTCCTTTCCCTGGGAAGGTAGGTTTCCGGAATGCAGAGTCTCTTCACTCCCTGAGCACTCGGGGCTGCCCCTTCCGGAGGGTGTGAGCGCCCAGCCTTCTGGAGCAGCAATAACCGCAGCAGCTGCTACGTCAGCTTTGCCTCTCCACTCCCGACACAGATCGTGGAGAAGACAAGCAACGCAGGGCCAGGGCCTCCTGATGCCAGCATCCCTGGCCAGCCCAGATGCCTGAGTCACGTGGGCTCCATGGAGCCAGAGGAAGTGATGCAACCACCCTCCGGCTTTGGGTCAGCCAGGAGGAAAGTGTCCTGTTACAGCGTATGCCGGGCTGGCCTCAGGGCTCCAGGCCCGTACCCTGGCCCAAACCCACAGCAAAGGGGCAGCGGCCGGAGAGCCCATCTCTGCGCAGACACGGCCTGCTGTTTGCCCTGCTGGTGTGCTGCCATCCAGGCCCCAGGAAGGGCCTGGCCAAGCACAGCATCCCTGCGTTTCTCCTTTCCTCTCACTCCAGCCTTGACTACAAACACCTGTTTCCTTTGGCTGAGACCCTATGGGGGTACAGCTATTCAATTGACTTCATATGCATAGCAGGCATGCAATTGAATTCAATTATAATAACTACACTCATTAAAAACCTATGTAATGTTCATTAAGCAGCCTAGGTAATATGCAATTAATATTAACATATGAATTGTGCATTGGGTCACTAATATGCACATTATGTATAATACTCAACGTGTGTATTAATTACAGAGCATGCCAGAAAAACACGGCATGCAAAGCTTGCAGGCCCGTCCCAGGTAGAAACCCTTTTGATCTCATACAAATGCCTTTTATGGAGCATCTTTTCCATTCGTTGGAACGTAGGCATTTCGGCTCTTTACACAAAGATAGCTGCTGGCGAAAAAGGACTCAGAAGCTGGCTAGTGGAAGTGAGTAAACTCGAGACGCTGGTCTGGAGCGTAACCTGGAGAAGGGCCATGACCTTGACTGAGGGCAGAGTTCAAACTTCCGCGTTCTGCCCTGGCCTTCACCAAGACTGCCCCTGCCAATCACTCCCACCTGCGTAATGGCACCTGACATCACCAGGACATTACAGAGATTATCTCATTAGGGGGACTAACATGCTCCGGAAATGCAGGATGGCAATCGCGCTGAGTGTGACTGCCAGCTAGCTCCCCATGGAAAGTTCCTGCATTCAAGAAAAGTGGCTACTCCATTGCACCCAGACTGCCCTTGACACGGGAAGGTTTGTCCAATGTCAATGTCGCCCAGCTGTGACGAGCAGGCCTGGGAACGCTGCCCCTTAGGCAAGATTCTCTCACAGCTTCTCCTCACACCACGTGCTCAGCATGGCCTGGTGCTTGGAGTTACCATGTCCACTTTACAGACTTGGGGGAGTGAGGCTCTGGTGAGTGAAGCAAGTTACCCTAGGTCAGTGGTTGGCAAACTACGGCTCGTGAGCCACGTGCAGATCTTTGGCCCCTTGAGTTTGTAGCAAAGGCCAGCTTAGGAGTACCCTAGTTAAGTTAATAACAATGTACCTACCTATATAGTTTAAGTTTAAAAAAATGTGGCTCTCAAAAGAAATTTCAATCGTACTATGATATTTGGCTCTGCTGACCAATGCGTTTGCCGACCACTGGCCTAGGTCAACGCAGCAGGCCTCCCTGGCATGGAGATGCCAGGAAAGGGCCAGGGAGGCCTGGGTCCTAACGTCTTGTGGCTGCTTTCTGACTCTGCACCCAGCCTTCCCCACCTCCACCCCCCTTTGGTGGAAATTAGCCAAACGCTGACCTTTCACCACCTCATCTCCCTGTCTGCAGCTGCCTATCAGGAAAGCCCTGGGAATCCCACCTCTTAAGGAACTGTCATTGCACACTGTTCCCTCCAACAGTCACTGGAGTATTCACTGGCCACTGCCTCAAACCAGGCCCTGTGCAGGAGTTACCAGCTGGGAAGAAACGCCAGCAAGGTCACACGGGATGTGGGTGTTGCTCTCCGTCTTCTCAGCCTCCCTAATCCTCACCCTCCTGAGTGGGCAGATCTCTCCATGGCATGAGTCCCTTCCTTCCTCTCAACACCGTGAAACACTGGGTGTCTCTCAGAACAGACTAAAACCCACGTAACACCGCAGCTCAGAGTCTGCACCTGACTCAGCACCCTCAGCACCACCCTCAGCCCCCACCCACGCTGTCTCACTCTACTTGGTTTCTCTCACTGGTCTAGGAGAGCACGTTGTCCTGCACAGATGCACAGCTCATTACTAAGTTTCTTTAAAAGATCCAAACGAGAACCACCTCCTCCAGGAAGCCCTCCCTAACACCCCAAGCAAAGTTGCTTCTTCTGCCCCATCTAGCATTTCCAGATCCCTTTGTGCTTAAGATGCATCACAGAGATAATGTGTTTACCCATTTATCCTCTACTGCTCCCCCCTCCCAACACACAACTGTCAGAGCCACCCGTGAGTCTTTTTGATCCACACACAGTAGGATCACAGATAATCTGTCAAACTAATGAATTCATCCATCCCAGAAAGCACTCCAGGGAGCCACGTGGAAGAAAGCACAGGCATTCTGAAGTGAGGGAATCTGAATTTAATCCCTACTTTACATTCTCAAGCGAAGTGACCTTGGGCAAGTGACCTTCAGTCGCTCTGGAGTGAAGGAGGGGTTCTTGTATAAAGATCACAATCCTTTCTTCCGTCTCCAGGATTCATAAGATATTGTATCTAAAAGGCCCGGTCCAGAGTCTGGGGCCTGGTCATCTTCCCCTTCTCTCCAGCTACCTGCCAGTTCTCCTGGCCACCACCCTGGGGAGTGGAGGTGGGGCAGGGCCACTCACGGGCAAAGGGGCTCCAGGCCCTGGCTGCTTCTTGGATCCTGAGACTGAGTCTTCTACTTCACGTGGGTGTTCTGAGCTGGAAGAAGGCACCTCACATTTGCCCAGCACTCACTTGGTGCCTGGTGCTGACCCCCCCCCCCCCCCCCCCCTGTGTCCTGTGTGAAGGGAAAAGAGATGCTGCCTGCCAGTGTGATTTGTGAACTGTAAATCAGGATGCAAATTCCCGTGGTTACCTGTCTAAGAAGACACAGAGGCCTCAGGGAAGAATTCAGTGCTCACCCCTGCTCCCCTTACCCACCATCCCGGAGTCTGAACCTGCAGAGGGCAAAGGCCTGTCTGGCCAGGTTCGCGGTTGGAAATGGCGTTGGAGAGGAGGGCTGATGCATACCCATTCCCTGACTCCTTTATGCCTCCATTCGCTCACACACACACTCCCCCATCACCCACTCACCTGTCTGTTCGCCGTGTGTGCAGGCAGGGTGTGTGCAGTGCCCACTCTGAGCTGGGAGCAGGTGAAGGGGTCCACATGACTCGGGTCTCTGCCCTGGAGGAATTGAGTTTTCCATTGACCGCTCAGCTGAGTGCACACATGAGCAGGGAACAGGCATGCAAGCAGGTCACTGCGACGTGCGATGTGCATTCTAAGCCTCAACCAAACTCCGAAGACAGGCTCACCCTCTATGCCAGGCAGAGTGTGGGCATGAAGTGCTGATGGCAGGGCTGAGTGCGGGGGACAGGGCTGTGGGAATCTAGAAGGCCAAACCTGATAGTTATTTGTTGCCCCGGGCAAACAGGAGCCACTGAGAGCCTCAACACAAAGAGCTGCCCCAAGAATTCATCCAGCTCCTGCTGCAATTCCTGGGCAAAGTGGTCTGCCCTCTGCTGCAGTCCCCACCCACTTACCCCCGTGGCCATGGCCATGATCAAAGCAAATGTGTCCCAGTTCTAGGAAGCATTCCCTGCGTGACTTGGGCAAATCACTCAATTCCTTTGACCCTCAAAATAATACCAGCTTATTCTCCTCCCTCGCTGAATGGTGGGACCATACTTTAAAGCACTATAGCTCAACAGTTAAGGTGCAGGCTCAAAGGTCAGACCCAGCCAACGTGCCAACTCTGTTATTTGGGGACCACTTAACTCCTTGGATCCTCAGGTTCCCCACCTCTAAAATGGGCATGATCCCATTTCCACTGTGGTTGTGTGAATTACAAGAGAAAAATGTATGTCAAAGGATTAGCACAGTGCTGGCACGTAGTAGGCACACAAGACGATAGGATGATCATTGTCGTTTTTATATCTTTATTCATATAGATAGGATCACTGCTTGACACTTGGGATTCTATCAGAACTTCCAGCTCACTCTGAGTTCTTGCCTCACACACTCTCAAAGATCTCAGGCCAAACCCAGGTGCCACGCCCATGCGGCACCCCCTCCCAGAGTGCCAGTTTGCATTCTGAGATCAGGAACAACTGCCAAAAAAAATCCAACTGCATGGCTTTTCTATCCGAGAGAAAGATTAAAAATGTAAAGCACTTGCCGGAACACACCGCTTCTTGTCCCAGGACTTCCTGCGAGTCGGAGGGCCTTTCCGCAGCACTCCTGGCCCAGGCCTGCCACCAGAATTTTTCCCGGCACACGCGGCTGGTGCCCCCGCCAGGCTCCGAGGAGAGCGCGGGGAAGGTCCTGCCGGTACAGAGACACCCGAGGCCAAACGGTGCCCGCTTCCCGGCCTTGCTGCCCTGCAGGGAAGGTGGGGCAGGCGTTGGGCTGTGTCCAGGGTTCTGAGGAAGAAGCCCTGTTTATCTCCAGGATAGAAGATGCAAAGCTTCGAACCGCCCTTGGCGTTCTGCTCCTCCCTGGAGAGAGGAGTCTCCTGAGAAACCAGAGAAGCTGTGTTGGACCGTGTCTCCTGCCCTGATCTGTTCTCCATCTGGGCAGAGCTGGGACTTCACCCTGAGCCCCTCCTTGTGCCGGAGAGGACACCTCATGCCCACAGTGCAGAGGAAGGAGGTGCTGGGTGCTCCGCTGAGCTCCCTGTGTTCAGGAGCGGCTCAGACTCGTGACCACACATTGGGAACCCGTGATGCAGCCCCTAGCACACAGTAGGTGCTCTCAAAACAATAAGATGTTAAACAATAATGATTAAGCAGCTTATCGGATTCCCTAGTAATTCACTGCTCTATTATCTCATCTAATGCGCATGCTAACCCTGCAGACACCTTGGAGAAAGGAGGCTCAGACAGGCTTTAAATAAGTTGACCAATGTCCCCAGGGTAGAAAGTGACAGTGCCGGGACTGGGACCACGTCTGTCTGGCTCAAGGCTCTCCCACTCGGAAAAGGGGAGTGTGGGTCTCCATGCTGA